ATTTATATTTTAATTTTAATTTTAATTTTATTTTATTTATATGCGTCTTAGCTCTCAGCTAACGCTTCAAGGTTTAGAGAACGGCAAGGTCTAACAGATCACTAAGACTCATAAAACTACAGGAAGACATAGAGTACATATTTTTTTTTAAATATTTAAATGTACATATATTTTTTAAATATTTTATGCATATTTTTTAAATATTTATGTATATACAAGGTTTTTATATTTTTATGTATATTAAAAGTGCTTCTTTAACCATGTTATCTACTATAATTAAAATCCAGGGCAGAGCTATCAAATACTTACCCAACTTTTGTGAGCAGTTCAGTCTGCTCACAGCATCAACAATATTGAATTTCGCGCAGTGTATAAATTTTAATAAGCAGTGAACAAGTCGCAAGTTTCGTCAGCTACCTTTCGCTTCGGTTGCAAACATTTTGCAATTGTTGGCAAAATTTACGCTCATTTTAATTTGGGGCTGCACTTGGGGCAGCAGATGCGTTGAGTGTGGCCATTTCTATTTTTTTTTTACTGTTTGCCTAACCAAAATGCAGACATAAATTTTCACATAGTTGACTGCAGCAGGCGGGTGCGAGCAAAGAAAAAAACTGCGAAAAGGTCAAAGCAGAGAGAGAGAGAGAGAGAGAGAGAGAGAGAGAGAGAGCAAGTGCGTTTAAGTGTTAACATGTAAATTATGCTCGGGGCGATGTTAATAAGTGTATTTCAAGTGCTGTAAATCACGAGTAGCACTTCCGAATTGCAAATTAATATTTCGCAGTCATATACGCATACATATACATACATACGTATATGTGTATATATTGCCAAAGACAAGCTCTGCTTTAAAACCGAAATCTTTGGCTAGGCCCAGCTGCCAAGTGTGGCCAAGTGCTGCTGCTGCTGCTGCTGCTGCTGCTGCTGCTGCTGCTGCACAAAGTATCCGACGTAGTTGCTGATAAGTTTCGTTACGTTTTGACTTTTCCGGCATTTCATCCATGCTGATGACATTTCCAATGCAACGATCCCCAATTCGCACCACGCCCACGCCCACGCCAAAAATTCATTTTGTAATTTTCAGATACCTTGAACGCCCTAGCCAGCTGTCGTCGAGCTGGTTCGCCTGCTGGGTTTTCATTTTGACCAGGCTGCAGAAATTGCAACCAACTTGCTTTCCATTTGCTACCAACTCCTTCTCCTCTTGGCTGTGCGTGTGTATGTGTGCCGTATTCTCTCTCTGTTTGTGTGTGTGTGTGTGTGTGCATGGTTCGGTTTAGAAAATTATCTTTCTGCTCGTCGTCGCCAAAAAGGAAATCATATTTTCTGCTTTTGTGCACTTTACTTTTCAGTTTCGTCGGTCGCCCGCCTGCCAGCCTGCCGTTCGCCCCATCTCTATCACACCCTCTCGCTTGGCCTCTCTTTCTCGCCGCCTGTTTGCCTTTGGCTCGTAAACAGTTTGGTTGCAACTTTTGTGCGAAATTTATGCTTCTCGCACCGAATACCCTCTCATTTCTGGGCACTTTTCGCAAGTACTCGTAGCATGCGACTTGCTGCCACACCCACACCCACACCCACACCCACAGCCACGGCCACCCGCCTGCCCTTCCATGCGAGGAAATGGGTTGTGTGTGTCTGTGTGTGTGTGTGTGTGTGCGGCATCCAGGTGGTGTTTATGGCATCCGCTTTCGGCAGTATTGATGAAGGAACTCGCATCTGTAATTCAATCAGTGTCTATGTCTGGCTGCTGCTGCCATTTGGCTGGCTATTGCGACCGAGCTTCGTTCGGCTGGAAATTCACGTGCGAACATTTTCCATTTTCCATTTTCATCGCATCAATGCAAATAAGGCGCACAAATATCAAAATGCTCATTTTACCCATCATATCATATGCGAATATTTGATTTTTCTTGCACCTTTTTATCGTAGGTATACGAAATAGAAGAATTTCACAGTTGGCCATGACTTTTGACATTTGTTTTTAACTTTTGGCATTTCAAGTTGAATTCCCATTTTGCACTATTATATTAGATTAGATTGAACTTTTTTCAAGTGATGGGATATAAGATATAAAATATATATTCAAATTGTCGCAGCTTTTCGCTATCAACTGACCATGGATCAATCCAATTTAGAAGAAAAACAGATTTGAAAAGTTTATTTGAATAATCTAGCTAAGCTCGGCCTCTTCCGTTTGTCATTTATTTCCAACTTATAACTTATAACTTATAACTTAATTTAAATAAGAAAATAATACCCACATATATTTGATTGATCCAGTCAATCTTCTAGTTATTAAATATTATGGAATATTATTATATTATATTATTTCCTTCTTTTTGTCCATTTATATATTAATTAACTCACAGTTTGTATAAGAATAATAAGTAGAATCCGGTTATAAGGACACTCAAGGGACCGTCGTTATACCCGGAAGGCGCTGTAACCGTATAAGTTTTCTCACAAAAGTTTGTCTGGGGACCAGAATATACAGACGCTATAAGCGGAGTCATTATAACGGGATTCTACTGTACTTAAATTAAATGCAACTAAAGCTTTATCTTAATACGAAACCAAGCAGATATTGAGAAGAGTAAACTTCTTATTATTTCCAAGCATCTTCACATACAACACCTAGCCAGATATTTTAATGAATCTAACGCAGAGCTGAGCAAGCTGGGTGAGATGAAAGAAGATGCTGTAGAAACAGTAGCCAAACTACTTGAAGTGTCGCTACGTGCCGCCTTGTGGCCATGCCTCATGCGCCTCGCGGATTGATTGATTAGATTTTTGTTAATTACTTAACGCTTGAGATTGAGCTAGAGAGCTGGGCATTGTGAGAGTGGAAGCTGCTCGCGTCGCGCGACTACAAAACTTTGCTGCCGAGCTGCGTTACCCGCATTTCGTGGCAGCCACATTAACATCAGCTGCAGCCGCACCGAGGGCGAGGCGGCAGACAGGAAGCGCTTGCCGCTTAGTTGCCACAGCTTCGAATTAGTTATGGCCGGTGACGAGCTGATGGATTGATCACACACAATCGCAATTGCAATCGCAATCACAGTCATCTAGGAGCAGGAGCAAAAACAGGAGCAGGAGCAGGAGCAGCAGCAGGATAAGTTCCTGCAGTTGCAGTGAATCGTCAATGCTTCAAGTTGTCGCACTCGATTCCTGTCAGTCCTTGTTGTTGTCGTTGTAGTTGTAGTTGTAGTTGTTGTTGTTGTTGTTGTTGTTGTTGTTGTTGGTTACGCCCCGAACTTGTACGCCAAGTCGAAGCGTTTGCAATTTGCTAGCAGAAGACGCTCCGCTATCCACGTAGAGCCACGTTCAAATTCACATTTACCCACGGACTCAAACCAGAATATGCAATTTTCAATTGCAGCTGAATTCGTTCCAGAAAACGGCCTGCCCCGACGTCTGCGCACCGCGTACACGAACACGCAGCTGCTGGAGCTGGAGAAGGAATTCCATTTCAATAAATATTTATGCCGCCCAAGAAGAATTGAAATAGCTGCCAGCCTGGATCTGACCGAGCGACAGGTGAGTGCCAACTCTCTGCCTTCCTCCACCCCAGCCCCAAATGCAGCGCGATGGCTCTGCCCTCTTCCGTCTGCCATTTCTTACTCAATTTATTTCATTGCTCAGCTTGACGGTCTGGCACTCAGTCCGTCCGTCTGTCAGCCCTCCACCTGCTCTTTAAAAGGTGCAAAAATTCCATTATTTGTGATGAATTACACTACGCCAGGGTTGACAGTGGCTGAGTTCCGCACATGCTCGTCTCGGCTGAAGTCTTTTCTTCGTTTTAATTGCCCTCTTTCACACCTCGCTTCAACTGCTCTGATGTAACGCAATGCACTTCGCGTGGCCATTTGTCTATTCCAGGTCAAAGTTTGGTTTCAAAATCGTCGCATGAAGCACAAGAGGCAAACGCTGTCGAAGACCGACGATGAGGACAACAAGGACAGCCTCAAAGGTGACGATGATCAGTCCGATAGCAGTGAGTGCAAAGTTTATTTCAAATTTAGATTTTCAAATATCTGCTTTAATTAACCAAAACTGAGTTAATAGAGACTTAAAAAACTTTAATTTTTATTACAAAAAAAAAAAGATTTTCAAATATCTGCTTTAATTTACCAAAACTGAGTTAATAGAGCCTTAATAAACTTTAATTTGTATTAAAAAAAATATATTTTTATTTCTATCTACTCGAAACTAATTTGAATTAGAAGAGACTTAAGTGAGAGAAATATTATTTGAGAGTAACCATTGAGAGTAGTAAATAAAAGTACATACTTGTTTTAATGCCATATCTGTCTGATCTATCTGAACTCTTAAGTCCTCCCAATTCTGTTCTATAAGTTTTCATATTTTTAGTCTAAATACTCAGTTAGGATATGGTAGCTCAGGGCAAATCCTGAAACTGGAACAAAAATGGAAAATAATTTATTGAAATAGTTACGTTGTCCCAGTTTTCACTGAAGTTTTCCTAAGATATTGAAATTCCATCTGAATCCCAATTAACGCCCATATACGTAAAATTTAAATAAAAACAAACATATTTGGCATGCTTATCATGATAATCTTCTGATGATATCGAAAATTGCTTCATATTTGGGCCACCTTAAAGACCTGATCAACTGACATAGAAAACTTATTGTATTCCCAACTTAACCGAAACACTAACAACTCTGCCATGAAGCACTCGGTTGGGTTTAGCGGGTCACTTTTACTTTTTGAGGCTGATTACGCAAAGAGGAAGAGTAGAATATGCTGTAGCTTATCAACCACTGTCAGCTGGAGGAGGGCTCAACTTTAGCGAGAGTTGAGAGAGTTTCCCCGTCGCCTCACGCGACTTTGAGCTAACCCTTTTGCGGATATCGCTTTAGTGGTTCAGGTTGGCGGGTTCTTTCGATTCATATTCTTATTCTTATTCTTATTTTTAGTTTTTTTTTTTTTTTTTNCAATTAAGTTCTCATAGTAAGCGCTCACTGCCGCCCATGCGTGTTTATGCTTGTGTGTGTATATGTATGTAAATGTTTGTGTATGTGTGTGTATGTGTTTGTGTATGTGTGTGTGTATGTGTGTGTGTGTATGCGTTTGTGTGTGTATGCGTGTGTGTGTGTATGTGTGTCTGTATGCGTGTGTGTATGCCTGTGTGTGCGTACGTGCGTGTGTGTGTGCGKGTTTCTTRTGTAWGCTGAAAGACGCGAAAAGTTATTGAAATATCTATTGCTCCAARGGTTCAGGGGATCTCGTAGTCGAGCAGTCTCGACTAGAGCTTTCTTACTTGTTTTATTTTATTTTGGTTTGGTTTTCTTTATAAAAACATATCATCAATTTGCGCACTTCAAACTAAAACTGATTTACTTATTGGTTCACACGAAACGCAGATTCCAATTCGAAGAAGTCGTGTCAAGGCTGCGAGCTGCCCTCCGACGATATACCCGACTCCACGTCCAATTCCCGAGGACACAACAACAATACGCCCAGCGCCACGAACAATAATCCGAGCGCAGGCAGTCGTAAGTAGTTTGCAGCGCTGCTGGGGGAATCCTAGACTAAAACTTAATTGATGCTTAAATACAGTTACTCCCAATTCATCGCTGGAAACAGGCATTTCGTCCAATCTGCTGGGCAGCAGCACCGTCTCCGCTTCGAACGTCATCAGCGCCGACTCCAGCGTAGCGTCCAGCGTTAGCCTGGACGAGGACATCGATGAAAGTCCCATTAAGGTTAAGAAAAAAGACGACGGTCACAGCCAGGTAAGTGTTTAACCCGATCCGCATCTTAAGTTTATCCATGTGTATGTATGCATATCCTATGTATCAGGTTATCAAGAAAGAGGCCGTTTCCACCTCATCGAAGGCGTCGCCATTTGGCTATGATGCGGGCCCTAGTTTGGCCAGTTTTCGCCGTGATCCAGATGCCGCCGCCGCCGTCGCTTCCAACACGCCGGCAGTCAAGGCAGGCGGCAAGAAACGATATCAGAGCGCCAATGCAAATGCCATTTCAATTGCCGTTGCCTCTCCGCTGGGCGAGAACAGCGGCGCATCTGTGCCGACGGCTTATTTCCCTAACGCTGGATACTATGCCAGCCCCAATCCGAATGCAAATACGAAAAATTTGCCGGCGCCGCAGCAGATGCCGCAGGACTATTATGGCAAATACGATATTGAATTCGCCGCCTCGCCGCATCACAACCCGCACAAGCAGCCACAGCAACAGCAGCAGCAGCAACCGCTTCACGGCGAATATCTAAGTCCAAAACCAAACAGCAATGCGGCCAATGTCAATTTCCATCAGAATAATCAACAACAACACCAACACGAACAGTTCTACTACAACTATAACGACACCAATGGCGGCAGCGCGTACATGAACCACCAACAACACCAACAGCAGCATCATCCCATTGGTGACTTTGAGGCGCCACCTATTAACGGACCAAGCAACTTTTATGATCCTAAGTCGCAGGCGAGTGGCGCTTACTACGACAACATGAATTTCCAACACCAACATCAGTCGGTGGTCTTTCAACAACAGCCGCAGCAGCAGCARCAACACCCACAGCAAGGCCCTCTTAATCAGCAGCAGTAAGTCGCCATTAAATGTTACATCTAAATAGACCTCTAAGCGACAGGCTATCAGCTTGTGAGGTACACAATCACTTGCGGTTCGATTACCAGTTATCTTGCTTCTAAACTGTCCATTTAGTGAGCACTTTACGAATGAATCCATTCCGACAGTACCACTTAGTGAAGTTGAGAACCACCCAGCCAACTTTATTTAAGCGGCGAGCTAGTGAAGTACGCAACCACTGAACAACGTTCAACGTTGCACATGTAAAGACTTGACGCCATCTAGTGCTCAATAAATTTCCAAAGCTATCGCTAGCCACCACAAATATCGCCATAATATGGCATCGATAGTGCAGACAATAGTAGTACGATAAATTTGGCCGAGCTCAATATAAATAAACAATAATAATTAGCAATAGATAAAGGGGGTGACTGTTTGTGAAATGCAAAGCAATTTAGGGAAGCTTATTTAAAACCCCTCCACACTTGAAGAAATTCAAGAGGATTGTGAAACAAGTCCCACATTGAACGATACCGAATAAAAAGCGAATTTGAATTACACTATAATTGCTAAATAAGCCAACAAATTCGAACCGTTTGATGCACATTGGACGTAGCCTAGCTTCGTGCTTCGTTCCGCATTTAATGAAACATGTCTGCAATAATGTTGAAATTAATTAATTGTTTCTTTCAGACACATGCACCACATTGGAGCTGGCGAAACGTACAGCGCGCTTGGCCTGCAAATGGAGAACTGCGACGGATACAACAATTTTGCCGGTGGCTACTATGACCCAGCTGCGGGTCAGCAACAACCACCAGTTCCGCCCACACACAGCCACCCAGTGCCGCATCCGCACGCTAATCCACACCATCCGCATCACCAGATGCAGACACAGGCTCACCCACATATACATGCGCACCACAATCCAGCAACTGCAGCTGCTGCTGTTCACGTAGTCGGTGCTCCGCCTCTGCCCGCCAATCATCTCCACAATTCAAACACAAATTTCGGCGGACAACTGCAGGCATTTGCCAACACTGGCGGCGGCTCAGGGGTTGGTGGTGCAGCCGTCATCAGCGGGCTAGAGAACTCGAACAGCTCGTCGGACTTTAATTTTCTGAGCAATCTGGCGAATGATTTTGCTCCAGAGTACTATCAGTTAAGTTAGTTCTGATAATCCGGATTGTAAATACTAAACTGCAATCGATGTAGTCGAATTTTTACTTTGTAATCTCCAAGCTCTCAGCTCTCACTTTGTCGTAGCTCACATACATATCTGTAAATATGTTCGTATGTCTGTGTCAATGCTAGATCTATATATGTATATGTGTATGTAAGTAGCTAGAGTGATATATATATGGATATGCCTATGTGTACATATATATATATTTATATGTATACATATATATAAATATGTTCCAGGCTCGGTAATCTAGTTCACTGCAGTTCTCATTGAAATAAAAGTGCGGCTTAAAGTCCGCGTTAAAGAAAAATTCTCTCCGTTCAACCAGAAATTAAAAAAAAAAAAAAAATAAATAAAGAAAACTTAAAACAAAATTGTAAATAGCTAGTAAAAATTAAATGTAACTTTCCACCAACCCTAATCAAAAATAATTCAGATATACTATATAAGCATATACTTATAAATCCTATCTACAAAATCATTCACAAATTGTGTTTTGTAAATAGATATTGGAAAGTAGCTCAAATCGAATATTGTGAAATTTTTCAATTGAATTAACATCTGAATTTGTGATTCAAATAAAAATTTCCAATGGTATTCGAATGAATATTAATTTTAATTAAATGTGAGTAATGTTTGTATGTTGTTCCCCGATTCCCAAATACAATTTAACTTGAAAGACATTTTAGACACTAAATGAATAAAGAATGAATGAATGAAATAAATAAATAAATATTATCGAAAAAATCGATGTATTTTTTTGTCATTTATGCTCAAAATATTTCAGAAATGGTAAGACAAACGTTGCACCAATAAAAATTATGCAGATATGTTTGTAAATTGGTTTCCCCACTTTTAAAATTTTGAAAATAAAAATACGAACAATGTTATGCATTCTTTGAACCTAAAAGACACCCGATTTTGTATATGATATACGATTCAGAGTCACATGAGGCTATATGTATGTATGTATGTATGTACATATGTAAGGGCGGCTGATGACTATGTTTCTCTATTTCGGTCTGAGATTATTGTAAACATTTCACTTGTATCTAAGCCAAAGTTCCTAGTACCCATAGCAACATGCTGCACTAGTTTAGCAACAAGCTACTCATCAGCTGTTAAACGAGCCTCGCGAGTAGCGACGAACAGCTGCTGTTGTAATGTGTAGCAATTGTTGCATCAGCCAAACCGGTAAAGCGAACTTACTCTCTCTCTCTCTTTCTCTCTCTGCTCTCACGCATGCTGCAAGCCAACATCTCACGATTGTGCACCCTACAAACATTTTACGCATCATAGGTGAATGAACAGAACAATTTTCAGATTAATTTAACCCAACACAACTCATTTATCAAATGAGTGTTCTGCCTTAAATGTCTGCTGATAAGCTCTCATATATGTTTGCGTATTCAGTAAACTTTTATGAATGCATGTACTTTTATATATGTATGTATGTATGTATGTATGTATGTATGTAGTGTACTATTTACGTATTTCTATATTACATATGTACATACAGATGTATTTGCGCTCTTGTGTGCAGCCTGTTGTATGTTCATACATACATATGGGTGTGTGTGAATGTGTATACAGACTTAAGCAAATATATTTTGATAACAAGATTACGCCGAAATTTTACAATTCAATGGCAATTTAAAGTTGTTAAGGTCTCTCTAACATTTGCAAAAATTTCTAGCAGTATACTTACACGTCGGTTATTCAATGGAAAAGACAATCCACTCAATTAACAACCGCGTTAAGTAGGAGCTGCAGTAGTTGCTAAGGCTAAAAATAAAAGTTATGTGCGAAAGCATCTTAGCATAAATAGAAATGAATTTTGGGGGCACGGCAATCGAACAGCCAGCTGAGAGCCAACACATAGATGCCTGGGTGTATGGCATAGGATAGCATGGGATGCGATTCAACGACAGCCGGCAGCGCAAATTTTATCAGCAGCAGAGTTGCTTACGTACATGCATAGGTAGGTTGAATGAGTCCAGCGACTGGCATCCGTTAGTAACAAAACTTTAGCCGCCGTGAACAGAGCAAATTTTATATCGTATCGCAAGTCGAGTCGTGAATTCAGTGAGCTTTTAGCAGAAACAACAACGAGCGTATTAAAAAGCTTTGCAAATCTGCGAAAATTCGTGAAATTGTTTTAAAAGTGTTTCAAACACGGATTTATGGAAAACTAGTTTCATTTCAATTGATACTTCGGTTACGGTCTTAATGGCATCAGCAAGTGAACTTTTATATAAAGATATTTTATTCATAGAACAATAATTTATTTCCAATTTGTTAATAAAAGTGACCCAAGAGCAAAAAGTGTTGAAAAACAAAGAATAAACAAACTAAAAACTACTTTAATATTATTTGATTTTAATAGTTGTACACGAGGGGTGTATATAAACATACATATATAGATAAGAGAATATCTCTTTGATAAGTTCTACGTGAGATTGAATTAACTGATTTCAATTTATCGGCGGATCGCCAAAGTATTATGTTGGTCGTTCCTACTATTGTTAACACAAAAATAACGACCAGAACAACAACAACAACAACAACAAGAGGCGTCAACGCGAGAATCAACCACAACAAGGGACGCAACAACGTCATGCAACATTCGCCTGTCGTTGTCTTTATGTCTATGCAACATTCGTGGCAGCAAGTTCCCATGCTCAACAATYTGAAGTGTATGCGTATGCGTATGCGTGGCTGGCATCATTGCATTAACTACAATAAGTATCTATTGGCTAAGACCATCACGGGCAATACCACGCCTAATAAGACTCTACTAAAGCGTTCTAAGGGATTGCGAAAGAAGCGTGACAATATTAATCGTCGCAGCATTTGTTGCCGAGGTTTTCGGTTTTGAGCCACACTTAGAGAAATCAATTCAACACTCAAGTACAGGAAAATTGTTGCATCGGAACTTGCTTGCCACACGCGGCGGCATCGGAATGAGCGGTAAGTAGTTTGACGATCCTCCGTCCTAGAGACGAGCCCACTTATGATAATGTTGCTGACATTCGATGACCTTAAACATAGTTTATTATGTACATATACCATACCTAAACTTGTTTACTCAATGATATGGAGGCACCCACATATCACACAATCAGTCATCAATGTTCACACACGCGTATGCTACACACATACATACATATGCTACACGTGCCTCTATGTTGAGTTTCTTCAACCGCACACACTACGCGTTTGCAGCATATGTGAACTGCCGCTCAGTTGAACACCCTACATTTTAGTACTTGAATAGGCTTAGTGAACTTTTAGATTTACATATGGCGATCGCAAGCTACTTGGATATGTAAGGATGCAAGTACATACATACATACATACCTATGTAATACATGTAGACTATGTATTCATGTGCGTATAAATATATCAAAATAAATACATACATAATGCTACAAAGATAAGTTCACACAATTTAAAATGACCCTATCTATGATAGATTCTTTCAAATGTATTTACATACATATGTATGTGTGTATGTACACAGAGACTAAGTGTTACGTGAAAGTTTTTTATTGACGTGGCTCTTGGCACAGAAAAGTGTGCAATCATGGTGGCTAGCAAATTTTCAAAACTGATTTCAGCAACAAGTTTGGTCATTGTTAATTATTTGATTGCTTCTTCTTGACATTTACGTTTGTATTCCGATCTCGTGCCACTCAGTGCCACTCTGAGTTCAGTGCCAAAAGCGACGTCAGGTACACACATACATACATGTACAACTACATATATCTGTATATGTCATGTACATACATTTATAATATAATATTAGGTGTTTAACCATTTCTACGAATTCTGCGCACTTTTTGGCAAAGCTTTTAATACCATTCCCCTCACTAACCTATCCCTAAAAGTCAATATTACATACATCACATGCACTCAGGAGCTTTTCGGTTTCTGCGTCGGCAGCATGACTCATGTGTTTTTGAATTGTCGCCACAATTCAATACAATACATTCATACGCGCACGCTTTCACGTCTGTGAAGCATGTGTAGGTGTGTGAGTTAAGAAAGCTCTGAAATTCTGAGAACTGGTGAACGAGCTTTTATCTTTACACCGACATGCACACACACCGAAAGAGTTGCTGACTAATGCCAGCTTACAAAAGCTGTGCTGGCATATGCAAGAGTAAACCCCCCAAAATTTAAAAACCCTAACGAATTTTTAAACTATGAAATCATAACTTTATGGGTATATAGTATACAATTAAACCACTTTAAGTTAGCGGGATTCAATTTTGAGGTGTTTTTTAACATACTTAGTGAAAAGTCTTTGTATGAACCTATCTTTCTTATTAAAACTTGAACATTTTATGGGCTCTAATGCATCAATATTTTATTATTACAGTAGACGCTTAAATAAAAATGTAAATTTTATTTATGCAATAATTTAACCTAATATAGATACCCTATCATATGGGCCATATGTATAATTATATATGTATGTGCATTATGTTTAAATAAATAAGTTCTTATATGTACATTACTATTTACATATGCATAATCAAAGCAATTGCTCGCCGGCCGGTGCACTTGTTTATATTTACATACATGCACAAAAATAGGTACATATGTATATGTACATATCCATACATTAATACACACATGTTGCGACACTGTGGAATAGTCAACAGGTTGATGTTCGCAAGTGAGAGTCAAAGTAGCGCTGTGACGTCACTCAAGAGAAACACGTTTTTTTTTTGTACTCATTTTTTATTTATTTATGGTATTAAACTGGTAAAGTGGAATATGAGTTATTTAATTTGACCTTACAATATTCAGAATATCTACAATTATGTATTTAATTTACATACATATGTATTAAAATTTGCAACACCTAATTTAACCATTTTTTTAATGACGTAACAATACCTCCACTCGAGGTAGAACCTTATGCGGCCTTTGAAAGAGAAAGAGCACAAAGCTTACGCTTTGGCGCTCTCAAGAGTATCTGTGTAAAAAGCTTTTTCGCACACACTCTCAGCAAGTTATCTGCCTATGGCAAACTGGTTTATTGCTGAGCTTTTTGAATTTCACAACGAAACTAAATTCGTCAGATTACAGTTCGTGCATTTTGTAGGTCTTTTCTGCCTCGACTGGCTGTTTTCGTGGCGATCTGTCCGTTCAATACCAAGTGAATACTACAAGCAAGCAGTTGAGTCACACTCAGCTCTGTTTTCAATTGGATGTGAAGTGCAAAATATAAATAAAGCGCATATACATCTAGCATTTCGGTGTATATTCCTAGCAAAGGATAGAAGTGAATCGTTAACAGATTTTGTAAAAGAATTGTTGCTGTTCTACGTAGAACAACAACTGCGTATTTGTTAAAGAACATTTATAAAAGCAACGGCAACGCGAGTTGAGACAATCAGGTGGTGGTTCGAAAAACCACCCAATAAACTGCGTCGTTAAAAAAAACCAAGTGAATTTTTCGGTCAGGTCTTTAACAGCCGGCCAACAGTCCTTGAAGACACAAATTATAAATTTATGTAAGTATTCGTCGCACATACTGGGTTTTTCAGCTTACGTACATACATATGTATGTACATATATGAATACTATATATCGAAAGCTCTTAGTGTTTAATTTTTTTTTTGCCGGCCGCCATATTGAATTAAATGCTAGCAACAATTACAGACAGCGCATATGTATGCATGTTTGTATGTACACACATACATACATATGTACAAATGTGCTCTGCAATTTACATACATACATCCATATGCATATGTTTACATATATATTTACATAAAAATATATGTGTACAAACACACACATACAAACAAACATACCAGTAAATACTTAATAAAAATACAAATATATCCATACATGTACATATATACATATCTACATAAATACTGTTGATAGAAATGTATGTTTATGTATGTACATAGTTATTTTACATACATACCAATGGATATAGTGGCTATAGCGTAGGCAGGAGCTGATGGTGACACACACTTAGATAAGCACACACCCACGTATTTCAGGCGGGGGTTTTTTTTTTTACTACTGTAGCTCTTTTTCGTGCTCACATATAATTGGTTATACGCTGATATTTGACAAAGGGTTAGAAGAGGAATAATTTAGTAAAGCACACGCTATAAATGTCTATATGTGTATAAGTACGTGGTGTTTTTCCAGCAATTAGTAATTGTTTTTCGTTGTTGCCTGGGCGCACGATTTGATATGGCAACGAGATTGCGATATGGCCCATTATCTGAAGCACGCAAGTCTTACAAAGAGTTTGCATATGTGTGCGCGCATATATCTATCTAAATGTCGCCCGCTATATAATTGTCTTTACATCGCCAGCAAAACTCGATCGCGGGTAACCAACAACTGATTAGGCGTCAGGCCCCACTGCGAACTGGTTTCTGTTGTTGTTCTTGCTGCCGGTGGCGACCATTTTTGTTTTTGTTTTTTTTTTTTTTTGCTGGTGCAAAGCACTGTTGTGAAATTAAATTTGCAGCTTTTGCTTTTAGCTATCTTCTGGCGCAACAAAAAAGCTTTGCTGCCTATTATGCCCTTGTAGGGCGTATTGAATAGAAAAGACTTTCATATCTGGTGCCTACTTCATGTTCTATAAATTAGTTTTTGGCTACATAGCACATACGCAATGATTGTCAAGTGTTATCATTACATACATATGTACATATATTCCACATGAAGATGTAGAAAATGTTATACATACATATATGTACATAGATTTATATGCACTTGTTGATATTCATTGAACCTTTAAAATAATACAAATTTTTCTTAATTTTTCCTTTCAGTCTAAAAGGAAGTTGTGTTGACGACTCTTTTAGAGCTTGTTTAGAGCTTCCCTAACAATTTCATTGTTCCTCTCCAACGGTCAATTAAAAGTGAGTATACAAAGTCTTTTTATCTTCTAGTTGTAAGCATCATTCCTGCTTGATTGAAATAACAATCGCTCAATAGTTTGTAAGATTGTTTTATGAAAAGAGGAGAAATCCCAACAAAAAAGGAGTAAATCCAAAAAAAGGAGTAATTCCAAAAAAAGAAGTAATTCCAAAAAAAAAGAGAAATTCCAAAAAA